GGCATGCTTTGGAACAGCGCCAAGCAATTACCGCTTGTTGTACAGACTCAGTTAAGTTCGTGTTTTAAGTTAACCTTGGGTCAGCAAAGCTAAACTCACTTGCTTTAACTTATTCCAAAGTGAAATGTTTGATTGAGCACAGCTGACTAAAGACTTTTGTTGAGGCCCTGAATCTGTTGAGAGCCTGCTGTTGTTTTTAGTTCTCAATAACAAGCAGAGTGTTTTTCGGTACTTCCCCTAAACCAAGCTTTACTTCCTCAGGTTGCAATTAGTTGTCTGAAGGCTATTCATCAAATTTTCAGAACACCAATGCCACAAGTCAGATCGCCAGCTCTTGTTACAATTGGTCATTTCCTGCTATGGGGAAAATACATAAGCATGAAAAGAACAGCAAAGGCCCACATCTGTTCCAGAGGAAGGACAAAGGTATCTGCACATACAGAATGCCTTGGGCAGATTAACACAAAGCAATGCAGGCCATGCAAACAGGAACAGTAAACCTCAAGTGCGACCACTTTCAAACTCTAAGATGTAGCACCTAAAAAAACCTTTTCATAAAATTGTCTCTCTAAGGAAAGCAGTGAAAGGGAAAATGGATCAGTCATCACATTTTTTTATTGATTTCTTTTTGCAAGGGCTGTCAGAATGTTTATGCTGAATTAGTCTAAACAAATATGATGAGCAAGGCTATTCAGCTCAATAATGAGAACCAAAACAGCTGACAAGTGAGTGAAAGGTGCACCTCCACATTCTCCCAGTCCCACAGACCTTCAGCCCTCCACCAATGCACATTCTTTCTCCATTTTACAGTAACTGAAGTGCTATACACTGCAACTCACTGAGTTTAAAATGCTTCTGTATCTAGGTTACCATTGACTGGCATGCAATCACAAGCTCAAGGGTGTGTGGCCTATTCTTTTCAATCACAATCTGAGAGGGCAAAGTGCACTTAAATTCCTCAAGGTCCAGGTTCTCAGCCTCCAACATTGTAATTGCTATGCGCTCTAAATTCAATTCTTTGTCCAAAAAAAATTAACAAAATACAGTTTTAATAGAATGGACCGCCATTTCAGGGTAATAACACTGTCATCCACTTTGTCATCCAAGATTACTCCTTATGTCAGACTTACATCTGAACTTCTGAACAGAACTTAAATCTAATCCTTCAGTTTATCATGGGACATGTCACCATTCATGAATTCAAGTCCTGCGTGTTCAACTAATTTCACACAAAACACTACAATCTTAGGGGCTTTACAGGGACTTAGGCCCATACATTGATTACGGTCCATGTTAAGAGCAGAAATGCTATAAAAATATGCATGGGGTTTTGGAAGCATGACAGTATTACTATGCTCTTCAGGAACTGAAAGAAATCTGAAAACATAACATAAACACAAAAGATAAACACACCACAGTATCCATTACTCATTCTGTGTTTGTCTGATGCCTCCTGCCAGAAGAAAGCCACAATAACCCATGTGGGAAATTACAGTTGGAATATAGTTCTGTAATCCATCTAAAACCATGTCTGAAAGACTACAACAGCTTCTGAACAAGTATTTCAGAGATTTCTGCTCTCTAAACAAATTCAGCTCTTCACTCGTTAATCTGGTTCCCCAGAAAAGTGAGCAACTGGGTGGATAAATCACTGTCATTTCCAGGTGCAAAGTTAAAACTGGTGAGCATATGTTTTCACTGATGCACTTGGAAATGTAATTGTTAAAGGACACAAAAACAAATATACTATTACAAACTGTTCTTTTGGAAATGTCACACCGAACGCTATGTAATTATGTAATGGATAGCAAAACATGAGAGTGAACACTGGATGTAAACACTGAGAGTAATACAGTCTTGTCTACAAGGCAGAAATATGAAAGCCTGAAAATATTTTACACTTAAGAAATATCAGTTCAAAACAGGGTTTTAATTGTGCACTACAGAACAGCATCATTTCAATACTATATACCAACTGCTTAGTTCTATATATTACTGTTTAGTACTGTATATCTTTGGTAATTTAAAGCAAGTGATTTCTATAAACTTAACAGTTGACATTAAGGTGAGGCTTTGCTAATATGTATTCATGAAGTTTCACTGGTACATCACAGATAGGGACATTTAACTTTGTGCTGGTATACATGTGGTAAATATGCCTGTGTAAAATAAAACATTGTTAAATAACTACATTCTTAAATGACAGTTTGTCTCCACAATGAAAAACAGAAAAAGTATTGTATGAGGAGACGAATTATTCAACAACAAATAGATATTTAATAAGTGTTGACTAAAGTAATAGAGATATCAAACATTAGGGGTGGGAATCTTTAGGCACCTCACGATTCAATTCGATTACGATTCAGAGGGCTGCGATGTGATTATAAAACGATTATCAATGCATCTCGATGCATCTTTTTTTTCTATACATGATTTCTATTTTCTTACTGTCTGAGGACTTGGTAGTTTTAAAACAAAGTATTTGTAATGATCCATAATGCATTTATGTCCAATTAATTTTATTAATAAAACAAATGGAAGTGATGTGGCAAGTGAACTAGAAGGCTCTGATTCACTGCTGTTGTTTGGAGACGCTGCTGCCACTCATCTGCGCTAAAATGTGCTGTTACGGTGAAATAAGATCCAGTGGTAATGGATGTCAACGCAGCACATTATATATTCTTTAGTGATTTTATAACTTCGGTTTTGGTCTCGTGATGGGGGGGGGGGTTTGAGGGCGAAAGACTGCAGGTCATGTAGCAACGAGGTTTTGCCGAGCTAGTAGCGAACAAAAAAGGAAAAGAGAAACACAGACAAACATTTGCATTTATAAGCAGCGCACTTGGTTTCCTGGTACATTAAATATGCAACGAGAGACTGTCAAACACTAACTAAAAAGTTGTGAAGATGAAGTCACTTCTCTTTCTAATTTTGCCGTTCCACCTTAAATCACTCTCAGTCAGAATTTAAGGTGGAACGGGAAAGTTCAGCAAGAAGCTGGCGAATGAGAAGCCACTTCAGTCTCGTAAAACAGCCGAAAGCTGAGAGACAATTTACAAGAAACTATTCAACTTTTGAGGAAAAGTTTTCTGGCAGAGATGGAAGAAAAGCGGCTGTAGCTGAGCTAAAGCTTAAAGCAGAGCAGAGTAAGTCTGTGTTTCTGTTTATATTGTTTAGCCTAAACTAGGACATTAACACATACTGAGACATACTGGACATAAATGTTGCGGCTCCCAAGGTGGTTTGATTTTTGTTGAAAAGACAAAATGGCTCTTCTTAACATTTGGGTTGTGACTCCTGACCTAACCTAGGCGCTGCACTTACCCACTTCCAAGTTCCGCCCTTTGCGTTCCGTCAACATTACGTTATAAATTAAATATTTAGAAAATAGATTTTTGACATTTGTGAATCGATTCAGAATCGTCCACGTCTGCATCGCGATGCATCTAAGAATCAATTTTTTCCCGCACCCCTATCGAACATGATATCATCATTTATATCAACATGAAAATGAATGTGCCATCTAAAAATTCAAATGGCCACCACTTTACATAACAACTGAAGATTTGCATAGAGAGAGAGTGAGAAATAAATGTTAAATGTATGACTAATGTGATCTCCTATCAACGCTGCCAAAGTGAGCAAAACAACAGCTAGAATGTGGATCGCTAAACCTTTGAAGATCAACATTGCGCTTTCACTGCATATACGGTGCACCTCACAAACCACAACTAAACCGTGATACAGGCCTGGGCCTTCCCCATGGCTTTCTGCCACATGTCAAACATGTGACATTTATTTTTCTGTCTGCAGATTTTTTTTATGTAAGATTTAACAACAAATAGGCCCAGTGATTTTCCTTCCAAAGTGTATAACTGTTGTTTATAGGGGACATCTGAGCCTCAAAGATCACTCCTTCACCGATCTAATTACAGCCTTAGGTAATATAAACACCAGAGTGTTAATGGTGACAAATCAGTTATGAGGGTAAGCCACACTTTTGAAAAATATTTAGACACAACTTCAACTATTGTGTTACTTCTTGGTAGCTGACTCTTTTGTAATGTTTGAATTCAGTTTTCAATATTATAATGATTTGATTACACATAAAATCTTACGGGACCTTCAGAAAAATATACACAGCCATCAGAACACGTGTACAAGCTAACACACACATACATTATATATATATATATATATATATATATATATTTCTGGGTATCTGTCATATCATAGATTCTGTCTATATGCTGCACTGAATGTCTTTTCTGTCCTAAAATTGTCTGCAAATATGTATTTTCATTCAGAAAGAACAACAGAAAGCCACTTTTAGAAGCATCTAAAAAGTAGGCATAGGTTCAAAGCAGCTGATGGACATTTATGCTTGCTGTATGTGTGCAAAAATATAAACAACTCTCAGTAATAACAGCACGTGTTAAACCCTGTAACAGCTCTGATGCAATCAATACTTCTTAATGAAACTGACATTTATAACAAAGTAGTAGATATTTACAAGTAAAAACATTAGGCGTGCTTAGGTAACACCCAAGTAATAAATAAACTTATGCAAAAATGCCTTTATGTTCTTTTCTTTTTTCCCCTTATTCATTTTTTTGATCTTTATTCAAAGCACTGGTCTGTGAATCTGCATCTATATGAACATATGGCTTTGCCAATGTACCCAATAAACTGCTCATGTGATAAATAAACATAAACTTTACATCAACTACGTAATGCTACGATTACAATATGTCAAACATGACTAATTAAGAAGGTTAGCAGTTTCTGTCAAATATTAAAGTTGTAAAAAAAATAAACAAAATTAATAGTGATAAATAGTCATCACTAGTATTTTGGTTCAAATCTCTTCAATCAGGGTGTACAAAGTGCACAGATGAAAGACGGAAAAGTAACCCAACACCACTCACATTCATGTATTGGCTTTTCTTTTACACTTTCTATTGCCAGCGAGGGGCGCTGCTTCTACAGTGCGATCCTACCTGGCATGAGGCACGTCAATGCTGGAGGAGACCACCTTGCGTTTCTGCTCCAGCAGAGAGACGGAGCGGGTGTGGTCCTTCTCCTGGTCCAGTGCCCGGCCTGTCCGTTTATGCTCCAGCACCCGGGGATCCTCTCCCCCCTCTGGGCTGGGCAATGTGACCTCGCCCTTCTGCACAACACCATTCTGGCTCTGTGCTTGCCCATCCCGCTCACCGCCGTTACAGGAGCTCTGCTAATGGAAAACACAGACACAGCCCGCTGAGTGGAGGAAAATATCTTCCACCCATGCAACATCTCTCCTTTTCCCCACATAAACACTTTCACCCCTGAATGCAATGCCTGGGACTACAGTCTTGTTTACCTTGCTGGCAAGTCATAATACAAACGCCTACTGCAGTGTGTTTGTTTGCAAATGAGAGAGTAATGGAGATGCACACCAGCAAATTCTGTGCTATTGAGCTGTTAGTGTTTAATACTTGTATCAATGCTTACACTGGAGCAACAAAATGGATCAAGATGTTTCCTCCCCCAGTTGGCAGACCTATTTGTTTAGTAAAGGGGAGCAGTGCAGAAGAGGATCTATGCAGTTTTTTTGCACTGCTAACAAAGAAAAATTAAATCCTTTTTCAACTCTGTTTTCCCCATTGCATAAAAGCCATTGGCAGCTACACATATGCACAGATGAGCTTTACTCCTGCTCTGCATAGCAGCCATACATGTTTCTACTACACTGTAACTAAACTCATTACACACACGGAGTAAGCAAGCTAAAAGATGCACAAACGCACTTGCAGTACAAAATACACCATTCAGATCACTATCTCCCATAAACATGAGTCATCACCCAGTTCATCACACATGATTCGAAGGTAAAGACACATGGACTGCTTAATAGAAAACCTGCTTCAATAACTCTTTCACCACAAAAAAGGTAACAGTAATATACAAGTCTTAAGTGATTCAATTCAATGTTCCAATGTTTAATTTAAACAAACCACCATTTACCTCCCAGAGAGTATGATATGATACTTCACCAAAGTAAGACATAAAAGACAGGGTTCTGTTTATACTTTTTCAAGAGATTAAGTTAGAATTGTCAAAGCAGTTTGTGCTGTAAAACAGCCTTTCAACGCCAAGAATCAGCAAGTTGCTTTCACAAGTTTACATATAAAATTAACGCATTAGTCTCTCTCTCGTCCTTAGTCATGCTCCTCTCATTGCCTCGTTCTCTTTGATTGACAGACAAAAACAATTCCTTCCTTCAGGCGCGTGTTTGTGACAACTACAGCGTTAACACCCAGTGTGGCGCACACTCTAAAATGATCAAATAGGCCCATGGGTCATAATTCAATTGTGTCAGTCTCAGTCGAGCAAATCATAATCCAATGTGCACAGACACACTTTGTTTATCAAAACAATGTCAAGGCCTTAATCAAATTAAGCATGTCTTCATTCTATAGTATTAATTGGATGTGAAAGCATGATGCATAAAGATGAATGATCCATTATTTTATTAGATCAAACAAAAGAACAACGTCTCCCTGCCTGTGGACTACCTACATGGAAGACTGTACAGTGGTTCACATGCAGGGCCATTTTTGTACGCTTCACTGGGGCAACAGCAGGGCACACATTTAACATTGATCAGTCCTCACTCTGTTTTCTGCTACTGCTTTGGTCTCATCTAACAAAGAAGCACTTAAGACTGGTAACTGCATGTTTATTTATCCTGTCCAGTCAAGCCAATCACAAGTTACGGCTATAGATAATCTGTCTTTAAAAGGCACTTTAGGAATCATAGCAAACACCACCAGCATATCCACTTCATGCCTGTATTGGTAATATTACCCATCCATTATGGTCAAATCTATGCTGAGCCCACATTATGTGGATAGCTTTCAGAGTCTGTATTCACCAACCATTTCAGTAGTACGAGTTTTTGTGTCTACGACCAGAATAAGTACAGAGAAATCTGACCTAAGCTCAAAGCTCTACCTCATTACTGCTTTGTAAATACCAGCCCAGAACTAACAGATTACTATCATCAGCAAAAAGCTACCCTTCAACCCATTAATGACTCTAAACCGCAGAAACAAAAATGGGAGGTAGAAAACAGCCTGCCTTTGTCTTCGGGGCTCACAAGTATCGGCACTCAACTTAAAGCCCCTCCCTGCAAAACAAGTCAACAAGTGGCATTCCCTCAAGCTGAACAGGGCTCATTTAGGATTCCAGGCTCCCTGCCAGGGCCACTGATTTACAATAGTCGTCCGTTTGAAGCACTTCGTTTCACCAGCTCACAACGGCAGCTGCTCAGGGATGCTTTCCCTCACCTGAGTTTCACATCCTCTACCACCTCCTACTTTTCTGCACTTCTTACAGTTCAACGTTTTTGCTCCTGAGCTATAAGACAATAAACTCTTAAGTCTGAATAAGCTGCAGCTCCTCTACTCAGGTCTCAAATAAGTGCCTAATTATTTTATTGGCGAGTGGAGATCACAATACCTTGTTTAGTGCAAAACGGCAAAGATGTCTGGACTAAAACACCTTTGATTAATGCTAATCTTTGGCAGGATGCTCTAGATAACATCCTGGACAAATAAGACAAACACAAAATATGTAATTCTGTCAAATATATCCATTCAAATCCACCAAATTACACTGGTGAAGATACTTCTCATCTGGTCAAATGCACAACAGCTTGTGCTGCTGTTATCAATATATATAGATATTTGGACTCTATTTTTGAGCATTTTTTCTAATGTTTTGTAGGATAACAGGCTGCAATTTTGCAATGAAGCCAATTAGGTCATTAAAAAGTCTTTGTTCAGCCATCACTTCCAGATGAAACCTCATCCTATACTGTGTCATAAAGGCAAACGCCGTAAAGCACTGCGTTTATTTCACACATAACTTATTATTTTATAATAAAAACGCGGGTTTAAGAAAGACTAAAGCAAACACAACGGCTTAAATCTCTACAGCAGTGATGCATTAGCTCACATCACCGTTGTGCAGAAAAGCATCACCAGCCGGCTTGGGCGGGCGGAGGACGAAGAGAATGGAGGTTGTTATGAACAAACACAGATGCTACTGCTAGACTGGCCAGAATGCTGCAAAGCATGTCGGTCATCACCCAACACAACACACAAACAGCACGGAGCCCGTGATCACGCTGAGCACTGCAACATGTATTTTCCCACGTTTGCACCTACTATGCATTCATAACGCATTAGGAGCATGCATTGCTTCGTGCACCGTAAACACAGTGCCCGTTGTTGACCCAGGCTTAGAGCAGAGGTGGCAGTGATCAATGCATACATGACCCGGAGTTAGGGGGGACGCTGCAAAGAAAAACAAAAGCAAGCATGAGCTGGCCACCACATACCTTCAGGCTGGACTTCAGCGGTCCCTTGGCGGCCATCTGAGCGGAGCCGAGCGCGATCTCCTCCTCTGAGAATTCCCTCACGGTGCCGTCCTGCATCAGCACGGTGTACACGCTGCACCGGTGGCCGCTCGAGGCGTCCCTGCTTTCCTGCTTGACGGCCTGCACCACTCCGGCGAGCGGCGCCGCGTGGCCGGCTGGAGCCGGCGCGTACACGCGACTGCCTACGACGGAGCGCTTAACGAGGCGCCTGGTGTGCATGACTTACGGACGCGACGTTGGATGCATGGATGCGTCGTTAAAAAAATAAAACGAAAAAAAAAAACAAAATAAAGAAAACAGGTAAAGGTCGAAGTCAGGACGATAAAAGCCGCAACGGCAGTGGGCTGAACGCGAAACGAACACGAGTCGACGGGAACATGTTGACGTTAGTGAGCCGCCGCACTCCTTTCGGTTCCCCGTTTCGGTACTGCAGCGGAGGCGACCACGACGGGAAACGGCATACTGTAGTTAAATAACACAGAACGACACGTTTGGTTCGATTACCGCCACAACCAGCAACCGTTATCCTTCTTCTTTTTCGACCCTGTTTGTTTTTCTCGCCGATCCCCTTCAAGCTAGCGAGAGCGGAGGAAAACACGGAACGGCACGGCGGTTTAGGACCGAGCAGGACACGGTCGATTAAACGATGAAAAAGCGCAAAGTGGTCGGAAAAACGTCGGTTTACCTCAGGAATTTAACATTTACCGTGCCAGCGATGGGTGCTGTCCACGTCGGACGTCGTGTAAAGCTTAAAAAACGCCACTAAAAGCCGAATTCAGTCGATGGGGGCGAGAAAATAACCGCTCCGATCCGTAACGGCTGCGGCGCGAGCCGGAGCCTCTTGCCGGCGGAATGCTGCCTGTAAACATGTGCGCTCGCGCGGCACATAGATACGCGCTCCCATTGGCCAAGAGCGCACACGCCTTCGCGGGCTTTACGTTCTGCCCACCCGCATTCCGGCGAACCTCGGTTCCAGTGCTGGGATTGGCTGGTAGTATCCGCGTCGTGCGCTACGATTGGCTAGTGTCTCGTATTCACAAGCAGTGGACGTAAATGACCAGCCAGTCTATGGCGAAGGAGGCGGAGCTCTCCGGAATACAGGTGGGGATAAAATAACGCCGCCTCTCTGTGTCAGTTTACCTCCCAACACACCGCAATGTTAGGCTGAAAGCGAGCTCCATTCAAAACAATGACGCAAGGCCAGAGAAGAGAAAAGCCGAGGAGGGCGGGCGAAACGATTACCGAACGTGTTTATCCTCGACTAGACTAAAGCACTTGGCGATGGCGAGACGATAGTCCGTGACCTGTGGCTGTGTGGGGAATGAAGGACGTGAGCCAAGGTGTTTGAAATTAGCGGTAGACGTCCATTGTGCCCCACTGTTTTTTTGTAGCAGGACTGTGCCTGCAGCGTAGTCGTGTTTCAATGTTAGCCACTGACGGCCTGTTTGGTAGGGCTGTAACGATTCAGAAAATTTGCTGTTCGGTTCGTTTCGATACAGCTGTGTTTGGATTCAACACGTTTTTCAATACAGCAGAAATAAGCAGTGTCTGAAAATGTGCCTTATATTAGTATGTAAGTGCTTCCATTTTCAGTTTATTAGAGCATTCAACTTGTAAAAGTAATATTTGAAACACAATTTGTGCCTTGTACTGTGTCAATCTGATGCTCTAGTCACAAGCTAATATGTTAGCCCCAAGCAATAATAATAATTACATAATACTAAATAATAAATACAATAATATATACAATCATAGTCTTATGGTCCACTTGTGTACCATAGAGTTTTAAAGCTACAGTACATGTAGCAACAAGCTAATATTGTGCTGAACAATGCGATATGGTGCGGTTCAATTGAACACAATATAATACCTTTTACTGTTACATCCTTAGTGTTGTGCTACTGAAGAGAAAATGGGCACTTTGGTTTCAAAACTCACTTCAAATACGTTGTCCTTTGGCAAGGACAGACATAAAGGGTTTGTTTTATGTCCACAGGTGGAATGATGGTTTTTCTCATTTATGAGATGGGAGTGCTGTAGATACACAAAACCACACAAACTCTTTTACTGGTCCAGCATGACTGCAGTATTTAATTGGCAAGTGATACTTTAAAAAGATTATGAAATAAACCAATGCAATCATACTTATTTACAAATAAAATACACTGAATTCACTCTGAAGTAAAAGCAAAAGTATACCAATGGAGTGCTGCGATATTAAATAACTGAAGTACCCTTACAATACAGAGCTTGTACCAAGAAAATGTACCATTATTGCAAAACAAACACACAGACAGCATTGCATTTTCACCAAAGGGACCCGAGCTGTTCTGCCATATCCATAAACCACACTTTAAGCAGAGTGACCTCTCAAAGAGTAACAGCCAAGTGACTTTTTTATATGAACACAAAATTGGCAGAATTCCCTTTTGACATCCACAGCGCATCCAAAACACCTTCACAAGTTTCTGTGCTTTATAAGCCATGAGAAAACAAACTATAAAACACGCTAAAACCTTCATTAAGGGAGGGTAAATTATTAAAATATGTAAAATCGTACTATATGTTAAACTGATCAATAAAGTTACAAGTATTTACAGGTTACTCTTGGCATGTAACTCACATGCAGTGTCTATGTGGCATCCTTTTTGGATTAAGCTGCTTATTAAGAAAAAAGAGCTTCATATTGAATTGTGTACTGAAAGGAATAGTTGCCAGGCAAGCGCTATGTGGCAGTACCATGGATTTTCTTTTGTGCTTTACTAGTTTTTGACTGTGTACCTACTATAGGAAACAAAAATGTCTCAAAATAATGCATTTGATATGCTTCATCAATACCGCTGCATTAATAAACAAACTTCTGCTAATTAATTTTGATACACATACCATTAAACAGGTATTTTTAGCGGAAATTAAAAATATACTCAACATCACAAATAATTTATGAAGAGTTTACAGAAGTTTACAACACATCAGCAACAGATATGGTTTTACCATGATTATCAGCCTGATAAAGAAGTGTAGCAGGACTATACGTACCATAAGAGGTGATTTCATCTGCACATAATTAACCCCTTTCACCATGAACTCCATGGAAACACTGATTGTGACTGCAACTGGCATAACCATAAAAAGTTCAGTTTAGCTTTTTTTCCGATATGTGCTGTGCAATTTACATGCCGCTTGATGTCTTTGATTCTGAAGCTGTAAATGAGTGAAGCGGATGTATTTTTGCCTGGGTGAGCTGAGGACACTGTGGCCTGCACCTCACTCAGTGGGACAACACAGTTCCCAGCAAAGCCCACCTCCAGCAGAGAGCGCACTTACTAGTACACACTGCATGAATAAAACACCATAACTACAGCACTGCGGTGACACGTCCATTTGTGGTACCCAAACATTCACATAAACATCATATCCTATTATTCTTCAAGATTAATGTGGCACAAAAAAAAACTTCATTTCATGTAAGTATCTGTATCTCCAACAAATGATAATCACACAAATTAGAATAGAGGATGTGTCAATTACAAGCACATTTTAGTGCCACTGCACATCTGGAAGATGTTTTACTAAATTAAATTTTAGGCTAAATTGCATCTGCTTACACAAAGAAAAAAGTGATGCACTGAATTTACCTGATTCAAAGATATACATCATTTCCACATGTTTAAAATACATTACGCCAACACAATTATTGCCTAAAGCATGTTAACTGAAAGACTAAACTGTGATGATGCAATATATTGCATTCATGTGGAAATTTAACAGAAGTGAATCAAGTAAATACAATGCTTCAGTTTTTTTCAGTGTCACAATGAACACAAATGTGGCACCACGTCGGCGGTGTGCAATCATGCGTGGTAGATAAGTGCCTAATTGAACTGGTATGAACCACGACCCCACTCCTAAATATCAATCAGATGAGCTGCTGATGCAGTGCTGTTTGAGTTTGTAGGCCTCTGGGAGTCAGTCAGAGCCGGGATGTCTCCCTGTTTAGGCCCAGCTCTCCAACGCTCTCATAGTCAGGCTCCGCCTGTCCGTCCCTCTGCTGGCCCTCCTCTGCAGTTTTTGGGATCTTGATGGTCTCGTACCCAGGGTCTACATTCTCTGTGGGCTCCTCTTGGGGCTGCTCTCCAGGGGGAGATGGGTACACATCCCGTACTGTTGCGTACAGATCGCTGGAACTTGACTCTGGCATCAGTCCCTTGATTTCTGCGATGCAGCTGTAGTCGTTTTCCTTCTCCTCCACCGCTGGCTTAACTACTGTGGAGTATACGGCCAGTAACTGCAGGCAAGAAAACAGTGATTAAGGAAGATATCACCCCAAAGAGTTACTCACACTGTAGTTCTCCCTCTAATGCATCTAATTATCAGAAGGCTGTAGCAAAGAAAGTGATGTTTAGGGCTGTGTTTAAAATATTCATACAGCAATAACTTGTGGTGATATTGACTTAGTGATGGCTGTATCGACTTCTGAATTTACTTTTACACAGTTAATGCACCAGTGAAATGGATAGTGCATTGAAACAGCACATGGCAAACATGTACTCTAATAGTTACGGTTTAGGTCTATTAATATCTGTACAAAAGGCTGCATTGGAGAACAAGGCACTTCATTCTGCCTGTCATGCGTTCTGGATAAAAAACAGCACAGAATGAAGGTCATTCATTAGTTTATCATCTGTGTGATGAAGTGAGTATAGCTGTTATCTGTTGTTAAGGCATGTATCATCCTCATTAGTTGTGTGTTTGAGTTAGTTTCTCTTTCAAACATAGTTTAGGTCAAGGTTATATGTTCTTCCGTGCTGTGATTAGTGCTTAGAAATTAACACATTGGTTGCATGTTTACAAAGCTGCTTCGCGTTTCAGGGCTGTTAAAAACTACATCACAGAGGCAGTGTGTGTTGTGTTGTAAGGCTGTGAAAAACTAAACAGCTGATGTTACTGTGCCGTATGTGGTCTGTGGCATGACAATTTTGTTGTTTGCTGATAGCTTTGCAGCCGCAGACTCTTTCAGACATGCATACGGGCCTAAATACTGTCCACTGCCTCACAGGCTGCTGCTGCCTCAGTGATTAAAAGTGCAGAAAGTTCTTTCACTAATATATATTCACTAAATACACTATATATACACACTATATACTATAGTATAAACTATATATTTTAAACTATGTATAGTATATGTAGTTATCCCAGTATTATTTATTCATCATTCTTGTAAAAGCATTAAACTTAAAAAAAGTAAACATTTATACAAAAAAGGCATTACCATTCTCACCAAACTTGTTTATCATTACTGCTGAAATTGTTTAAATATATTTTAAGGTAAACCTTGACCAGAAATGTAAGCTGTATATCTGTGTGTTTTGTCACTGCATTGTGTCGTTTGGAGTTGTTTGTATCGTTATATGCATCAGATCTTAATGTAGTTGACAATATCCAGCCTTAGTGATGTTAGGGATGCTTATTAACCCCCAGGCAAAAGCCTGCATGTGGACCCTCACATTAAATCCTTACTACTACATACATTGCAGGTTAGTTTTTAATGGTAGTTACTGAATAATCTAATCTAATACCGAATAATAAGCCTGCAGTTTCATGGGTTAATAATCTCTATAATCTCAAAAAAAAAAGCTGCACTGAAAGAGTTATTCTTAGGTAGCAGTAACCTTTTTACAGGAAGACTTACCTCCCCAGCTGGAGTTACACCGTTCAGTGGTTCAGGAGTACTTGACAATGGAGAGTGCAGCTGTAAGACAATGAAACATTATCTTAACAATGAGAATTTGTCTTTATATAACCCTTAGAAGTCTACAGTTACTATCATCGTTCTATACATTCAAT